ACTGACCGACCGCCGGCCACTACCTTTGGACCCCCGCGGCTATCCATATCGTTGGACAGTGACCGACCCCGCCTTTTACGCTTTCGGTGCCGCACGCCGGAAGCTTCTTGGCCGCTATCCATCGCCTTTTCGTTCTGAACCGACATCATCAAACCTTTCCAACTACTTACGCGACAACAGCCTAACAAGAGGGACACTCAGTGACACACTTTCACGTCATATAAGGAGGAAAAACCCCTCATCTGCCACGTAAGTCCATCGCACTTTTTATGTACACGCGTTTTCTAGCGACAGGAGGCGGGGCAATCCGCTGAAGTTGCTATAGCTGATTCGTTGGTTTAATTTCGTGAACTCACTACAGTAAGCATTTTGGCGATCAGTTAGTACCAGGCAAGTTTCTGTTATCCGCGTTGAATCCCTGCCACTGATTAATGAATTAATTAATATGTCACTGTTCTACTAGAATCACCCCGTCAATGCCGAATATTTTACCTGTATTGATTTGTCAATCTCTGTCTTCTAAAAATGCTATGGAATATCTGAATATATCGCTTTCATTTTCGAAAAGATGAATGAAAAAACCATGTCTGCTGTCATAGTCGAATGATAGCAGTTGCAGTAATTTCCCATTAACGACAGTTCTCCAAAGAAGATATGCTTTCTCTCTGCTTTTCAACATCATTTTCGATTTCTTTCGAAACAACGCTGACCCCGGAGAAGGCGAAGGTTTTATCACAAAGGAAAGGTGCAAATTACGCTATCAGGATAATTACCTTACTGACTTACGCAGATAAAATAGTCCTGGTGAGTTGCAAAGTAATGCGCTCTGGCATCCGACGGCTTCCGCCAACAACATAACTGCTAAAATCCATATTTTGCTTGATACTCATTTGTCTAAGGTTATGAGGAATCAATCAGTCATATCTGATCCACTAGTGCAACAGAATGAAGTAGTCATGCAGGAAGTTAACCAGTTTACGTATTTCGGTTCAATCATTTTCAGCGATTGCCCCAGTAAATCAAAAATGAACTGATCGATCACCATCACACCCGGTGTTACTTGTAATCTGTACAATATTTTGAAAAAGAAATGAGCATTCATGTGCCTTGGGTGTGTCACGTTTTTGTTGTTTTATGGCATGAAACAGTTGTTCTAACGAAACAACAAGAACGACGATTAAACTGTACATATCAGCTCTGGCTTCGACGCAGTGTGGTTAAATAACAAATTCACAGGAAAAATTATTGTATTCGATTCCGGGAACCTCTGTATGTCTGGAGATTAAGAAAGTGATTAAGAAAAGTAAATTGTCATTAGACGGACAAAAAATCGCCCCAGCAAAAAAAGTGGAAGGAGGTGTCCAAATCCTATTTGGATGAGACAAGATTTTGGCTGAATTTGTTTGCTCTCATGAGCCATAAAGTGAAACTCTTGACTACTTCACATCTGTAGAGTAAAGGTCAGTCATCCGATGGTATGAATCGGTGGAATTTCCTACTTAACCGATAAGGACTGGAAAATCCCGTCTAAACGCGGTTTTAACAATGCAAGAACTAGTGACGATGAAATAGGGAGTTTCTATCGTTGTTCTTGTCTTCCACGACATCAAGTTTTGTTCGTGTGTTATCGTTGACATTAATCATTTACTCTAAAGTAGATGCGAATTTCTCATGTGTGGGAAAAAGTACTGCAAATGATGGGACCGGGAAGCCAGCTTACAGTCTGGAAGAACAATGTAGATACA